ATAATAATAATAATAATAATAATAATAATAATAATAATAATAATAATAATAATAATAATAATTATTATTATTATTATTATTATTATTATTATTATTATTATTATTATTATTATTATTATTATTATTCAGATATATAACATCATGCACGATGTGGAGAAGGAGATGAGAGTTTCTCCCTCTCTCAAAAGAGTAAAACCAGGGGCTATTCCAAGATAACTGTCTGGAAGGAAATCTAAAACAGACAGAAGGTCTCACAGCTCATAATTAAACTGTGGAATTCATTATCACAGGATGTGGCAATGGCCATCAACTTGGATGGTTTTAAAAGGGGAGGCGATAAATTCATGAAAGATCTAATTAAGGGCTAGTCTTGAACATTCAGTGTTACCTAGGGATACAGGACAGCCTACCTCCAAATACTAGTTGCAGAGGAGCGGTGGCTGGAGAAGAGTAAGTCCACATTATACTTCTAAGGCAGATCTCAGAAAGAAACAAAAAGATGATGTGTATTGGTCTGATCTGGCAAAGCTGTTCTTACAGCTGAGGAAGATTGCAATCAGACAAAGCTTTATTATTAATCAGGATGCAGTGAGCATAGTGGGACATTTCAAAGAACTTTATAGGATGTTTTCTGAGTGGAAATCTTCAGATCATAACATATTCATTAGAATTGCAAGGGCATGCTTTAGCACAGAGTGGAATGAGATTGTTTATTGATTCCTTCCACTTAACATTTGCTTCATTATTTCTATTATTGAAAAGACAAGCACATTTGCGTAGCATGTTCTATTTATATACGTAGCACGTTCTATTTATATATATTTCTGTGTGTGGGCATGCCTGCCTAGACAGATGCAAGTATAAACACAAACATGCTTCATTTGTGGAATGCTGCTTATTCAGCAGAGTGTGTCCACTGGTAGAAAAGGGGAGGCAACTTTCATGAAATTCTCCCCAGCCCACCTCCTAAACCCTAAACATCTGCTATTCTGGGTAAAATCGCCTCTTCAACTCTCCCTTTTTGCTGCCAGTAGTAAATTCCATTTGTAGGATAGCGCCAAAGGCAGAAAGAAAAGCTAGATTCAACCAATTGTATCCTGAGCTCTTCAAACCTTAAAGGGCCACTTAGGACCCTTTAAATGCTTGTATTATGTGAAGAATGGCTGCAGTTTCAGCAGCTCTTCAATGTAAATGATCCATGACCACTGCTACAATGCAGTAGTCTTATGTTTGGACATTCTCCTGAGCACCCTTCTTGTTTAAAATGGAATTCCAAGCATGTTATTTTTGCAATATGAAAATTCATTGGTGAGAGAGGGAGAGGGAAAGGGAGAGGGGGGAGTGAGAGAGAGAGAGAGAGAGGGAGGGAGGGAGGGAGGGAGGGAGAGATGCAAGCTGAGGATAAAAAACAATAAAGGGCCTTGCTGTGTTTTATTTATTTTGATTACAAGAGTGCCATCTGTGTTATATTTTAAAACCACACATAATAAGGCCAACATTCTTCTAATAGGAGGGAGGAAAAATTTGGAAGTCTTTCCCCAAAACTAACTGCTGTTCATCTCTCAGCTATGTATTTGTGTAAATAATCAGATTATTTACACTTAGAAGCAACATATTAATAATGTCTGAGGATGTGTTTTCAATGCGTAAAAATTGACTTTAATTTGCCTTGATCTAGTCTAGAAGATTATAGAGCACTTGGAATTCCACTTCATTTGTTCTGATTTTTTTAAAGCTGTGTTTGATCTTAAGGGTGTAAAACACTTGAAGTTTCTGTTAGTTTAGAAATGTCTACAATCTGCTTATTACTTCCCTCCTTATAAACTGTACAGTTTTTGCAAGTAATGTGGTCCAGGAGCGCGAAAAGAGGATTGCTTTTGGATCATCAAAAGTATTTACTCTAGCTGTACATTTTAAATGTGTCTATACAAGTCTATTGTTGAAAATCACCACTCTGTGGCTTTTTTGTTGTTGTTGTATATGCTGGACCTGTTGGAATGTTTTAAAGTCTGCCTCACATAGAACATGGGCTATTTTCCCAAACGCTCTTGCATCAGCTGGAAAAGTTGTGGGTGAAGCTGCAGCATATAGCATGCTAAGCCATGCTTGAGCTGGCTTGAAGGAGATATACCATAGGTTCTGTTCAGTTCTAAGCTTAGCCTGCTTCAATCCTAGCTGAACAACAAAGAAGCTAAACTCTTCTTTAGTTGGGGCTCTGTACAAGAGGTGTGTCACTTTTGTTTACCCTCAGAAAAGTACATGACTTGAATGTCTCTTTAAACAAAAAAATCAAAATAGAGTTCTACTTTTTTTAAGTAAACAAATACTCAAAAGTTCAAAAATACTTAAAACATTGAGATACAGTATCTCATTCATTCATTCATTCATTCATTTATATTCATTCAGATGCAATATCTACATTTATATCCATATTCTGGAGACATGGAGACCGCATCCTTTTAAATATACAG